TCCTCGATCAGGTCGATCTCGTCGAGCGGGAGCTGGTTGGAGTTGGGCGTCGCGAAGGCGACCCCTGCCCTGATCGTCAGCCAAAACACCCCCAGACTCTCTCGTCGACAGGAAGCATTACCTGTGTACGTCGTGCCATAGTCCAAGCCGATGACGAACCGCTGTTCCCTGTGTGACGTGGCTCCGTTCTCTGCCATCGTGTGAGGCTATCCCGCGGCTCTCTTCCAAGTCAACGCCAGTACGAGTGTCGAGAGAGGTGAATAGGTGGGCGGTAAACGAAAGGAGAAGGACGAAAAACCACGAGACATGATGGCTGGCCGCGAAAGAAAAGAAAACGCCAGTGTGCATAGGGAGTGGGAGAAGTCGAGCTAAGACAGAGTCCCATGGCCAAGGTCAGCCGTGAAGGCACTGTCCCGAAACATGCTCAGGCTGAGAATGGCTACGGTATGGCCTCGATGACTTGTTTCGGCGCCTCACTGTGATACTGTGCCGTTATATCCAGTCAGGCTCACAGCTTGTGCGTCGCTTCGACCGAGGCGTAGCGTGCATACATCCGAGCTTGGCCAGGATACCGCCGTCCTTTTTTTTGAGTCTAGCAAGTCGAGTCTTGATTGCACTACTGCAGCGAGGCGCTGAAAGGCAACCATAAGGCGAACTTCAAAAGCAGAAGCATACCGTCTCTCTTGTGGATACGTGGATAGCTAAGTTCACTCAGCCCGACCTTACTAGCGCCGGTCTGGCGGGTTCCTCTTCAGCCTCATCGATGTATCCTGCTGTTGTCGCAATCTAGGCATCCGTAAAGGAGACCAGCATTTTACAAAGCTCGAGATCATAATCTAGCACTTGAAGGCCATCGATGGGAACAGCAGGGCTCTCTGCTCCCGCTCCCTTTGTGCTCGACCCTGTTCTGCATGATCCTCGTCTCAGTCTAGCCGGTACTACCCCTTTCTCATAGCATGGGTGGCTTGAAGAAGAAGTGGCGGGAGCTGTCTAGTCCGGTCAGTGCTCTGGTACCTCCTCGCTTAGCGTCCCGGACGGAAGTCGACGACCAGCTCCAAACTGGTGACGGAAGAGGGGCAGCTATGGCAACGCCCTCTCCCATTGCAGCAAATGTTGCTTTCTCTTCTGTTTCTCGCACTGCCCCTTCAGCCAGCAGTGGGTTGGAAAAAGAGAGCGTCCGCTTCTCAACAGCAACAACATTAAGGCCAGACCATGACCCCTCCGCAAGTCAGATTTCGGAAACCAGAGGATCTTCAGTCCTGCCTCCAGCGGAATTAGATGCCCTCGGAGACGGTGGTTCAATCCCACAGAGCGCCGCAGGCATTCATGAGCTGGAGGATAAGCCTTCCAGCACGACGACGACCGAAGGCCGCGGTGGTCTGTTCAAATCGCGGTTCTCCAGTCTCCATTCAAGGTCGACGTCTGTCGCTCCCGCAGAGCTGGAAGCAAACCAACACAAGGCCGATTGTAAGCAGACAGGTGCTTCAGAGATGGACGCCACTGGTGATAAGATGCACAGTCAAACCGGCGATCAAACCGGCACAATGGCCCCTCGTCCGAATAAGGCTGCAGACGACGAGCTTTACCGCATCGACAAAGAAATCCGGAAAGCCGCGGACGGCATTGTAGATGACAGCGAACTCGACACTGCGTTCAAGAAGCGTGGCACCAGCGGCGCACTCAGGCTTCTCATCGACGTGTACGAGCCAGCACTGGACGCAGAGGACCGTTTACATCATCTTGAGGACAAGATCCGAGCGGCCATGAAGGGCCATGTACGGACATCCGAGGTGAATGCGGAAATCAGAAAACACGGCCTTGCGGGCGCCTTGCAACTCCTGCTCGACCAGTGTCAGTCCAGCCTGAAGGCCGAGCAAGCCTTGGTGCGCGTCGAAGAGAAGCTGCGATCTGCAAACCACGACATTCGGCCAGCCGATCTAAATCATGCGCAGAAGACAGGTGGTGCCGAGGCCATGCTGGCACTGATTTTTGATGACTACCAGGTGAAAAGGTATGCGTCTATTGTGCTGGATCGTGTTGCAGGGCAAATCAGAAGAGCGTCACCTCAGGCGGCCCGTAAGGACGTGGATACTGCGTTGAAATCGAGGGAAGAAGGGGTGGAAAATGCGTTTGGTATTCTTGTGGGAGCTTACCAACCCTATGTGGATGCATCCAAAGAATTAACCGCCGTCGAAGCTGAACTCAGGAGAGCTGCCCGTGAAATACCGTGGACCCGGGATGTGGATCTCCTGTTGAAGAAATCTGGTCCTGACGGGGCGTTGAGGTACCTAATCGAACATGTTCAGGCAAAGACAGAGAATCTTCGAAAGATGGAGGCTCAGTACAGTGGCCTTGAGCAGAGTTGGAAGAAGTTGACGGGCGAAAACCACGAACTCAGACAGGAGCAAGCGCGGCATCGGGCGCATATCGATGCTTTGAACGCGAACCATCAAATCAGGATGGATGATTTCGATAGGGCATGGAGAGAAACTCACGAAAAGCAGCAGAAAGACGCTGCCAGTCAAGCACAGATGGTTGACCAGCGCCATCGGAAAGAAATTGCGACGTGGAAGGCAGCTATGCAATCTGTTAAGGAAGTGCACGAGAATGAACAACGAGAGTCGAAGGCTGCTCTGGAGAAGGCGGAGCAGGAATACAATGTTAAACTGGACCGTATGCGGGAAGACTTTGAGGCGAGAGAAAAGGAGGCTCGCCAACGAGAGATGGAGAGGATTGAGCAGTTCCGACTAGAAGCCGAAGAACTGAAAGGAGAGCTGGTCAAACGAGACCACTTCAAAGGACTGTCCGACCCAGAGATATGCAACCGATTCAAAAAGCTGGCCGGGGAAGTGGACAGCTTCTCGAGAATCCAGTGGGAGAAGAAACGAGAAGCCCGCTGGCCCATCCAGGAGAACGTGCTGCGGCGTTCTGAGAACCCCAGGAAGCTGAAGCAGCAAATCGTCCAAAGCACCATCTGGATGATCCTGAAGGAGAAGATCTTCCACTCTCCATTCGGAGTGCTCGGTGACGACGGCCAAAGAATGCACCGCGAATGGACGGGCGAGTTTGGCGAAGGTAAGTACCAATGCACCATTGTCACCGTGGTTCAACCATTTTCCTTCGCTAGTATTTGTAGGCTGATGAATCCAATGTAGATCAAAGCTCCGAACTGCCTCACTGGCCAGAAGCTTCAGAGGAGTCCGAGGCATGGCGATTCGAACGTGTCAAAGAATACTGGGACGCTTCGAAGAAATCCGACTCGGAAGCATCGCGCAGGTTGAAACAAAGGTACGATCAAAGCGTAGGTGCTGCCGTGGGCGACATCTGCAACGCGATAGAAGCGATCTCGCCTCCGTCGCCTCACGACCTCCTCCTCGTCCGAGAGTTCGTCGAGGTCGCTGCCACTTTCTGGTTGGACGTCATGGCCCAAAAATGTCGAGTGTACTTGGTTTTCCCAGCGCAGGGCGCAAAGGCGCTCGTCCATCGGAAGGCGGCGAATGCAACGGCCGATCTGGTGATTCAGCCCGAGGTCCGAAGAAGGGGAAACGCCCAAGGCCAACGCTTTGTCAAGGAGCAGGTCATCAAGGGCTGTGAAGGCGAGAAGACCAGGTTCTAGCCCGCCAGGCTGAAATGGTTCCGAAGCGGTTGAGGAGGAACAATCATGATAGAGTTTGCCGTAGTCATACCCTAGCTATGCAGAGACTTGCAACTAGGACTCAGCGCCCGCAAGCTACTGCATCTACTAAAGACACACAGGGTCGCGTGGGCAACACGACACGGTATTGGCTGCGTTGAGCCTCATAGTCCCAGATTGGGTGCCTTTCCTGGGCGAAAAGGCACACCTTCGTGCCCTGCCCACAGCTTGTCAGCCTGATATCGATCCGCTGTCCTCCCAATATGGCCACGTGCCACTTCATCTTTCGTATTTCTTCTCTTTTGACTATGACCCTGGATTCTATTCCTCAACACCTGCAGATTTAACTGGCCAGTCTGCCAGGTGAAGACGCAGCCGGTACCAAACAACAATAGAGGTCAGTCAATGGTACCTCTCCCCTGATCTGAATCCAGTTCTCGGTCGTACCCTATGACAAAGCTTCACCATTGAGAACCACTCGAATTCTACGGTGGGACAAGAATAACCAAAGGGAAAATCTTGTTTATACAGACCGTGGTTCCCCGGTACATTTGACCCAGGCTCGAAAGCGGTGGTTTGTCCCATCGCTGACTCTGCATTCCATAGTTCATTTTCTTCCGGCAGAGCAACGAAAACCACACCTTTCCCAATGATGCGCTTTATCAAGAAAGAGTACGTGCGCGGGCCACCACCCTCCCCTTCGGCAGAAGACCCCCTCACAGGCCTCACACACAAAACTGACAACCCCCATTTTCTCGTTTCTAGCAAAGACTCAGACCGGCTCTCCAAGGCCGACCTCCTTTCCGCCCAGCGGCACAAGGGGCAGAAGGTCACGCCCGAGGAGCTCCGGCGGCTGCGCGAGATGATGCGGCAGCGGTACGCGCTCGACCTGGAGATCTGGAGCCTGCGGAAAGTGGGCCGGCACAACAAGGGCGTGGTGGAGGACAAGATGCGCCGCGCGGACGCGCTGCTGGCCGGCATCCGCGCGGCGGTGGGTGCCATGGACGGCAGGGACTACTTCCACCACGAGGCCGACTACCAGAAGCTCAAGGAGGTCAAGGCCCGGGTCATGGCCGGAGGGAAGAAGGACTGGGTGCAGAATCCCCCGTGGAATGAGGACTGAGGGCGGTCGCGTGGGCGTGGAGGATTTGATGGCAAGCAATGTAGAAAGAGTTGAAGGAAGAGACAGCAGTTCGTTGTCGATATAGTCGTGCCTCCGTGTTCTTTTCTTCTGCGAGAACGTCTCACGTCTAGCGAGAATAGATACCGGTCAGTGGCAGCTTGTTCATGGTCGAAGCTTTCTGAGGATGTGAACCTTATACTGAGTCTCACACAAAGCTAAGCTTGCCATACTGAATATTTTGAATCAGTATGCGGTCGTTCTTTCCGTCCCAATTTCCCCCTGCACAGTATATGGTCTCTTCATGCCACTCATGACGGGCATCTGCGGCACCAAGTCAAGACTTCCCAGCTTGGCACCTCCCGCGCCATCACTACCATCGCCGTCCAGACTCCAGATGCTCACGCCGACCCAGTTCGGGGTGCCGTCGTATGTCAAAATCCCCTCGGGGACCGGATACGCCGTCTGTGGACCGAGGTGAGAGATGTACTTTCCAAACTGCCACCCGTTGACCCAGAGCTGGGCGCGGTAGTGCGGACCCTCGAGCGCGGAGTGGTTTCCAAACACAAAGGACAAGGGGACGTCGTAGCCCTGTGGCACGTCGAGTGTGAAATTGGTGGTGAACAACTCCGCGCCGGGCTGGGATGTGCCGTCGAGGATGGGTGACTTGTCGCTCCAGCCGATGCTGTTGTCGTCCACCGGCGGGAACGGGAGGTGGTAGCCCATTCTTTCGGCGAAGAGCGCCCCTTCGTTGCGCGGGCCACGCGATTTGTCCATGTACTGTTCCCCGCCTAGGTTTCCCTGTATTTTCCAGGTGACGTCGGCCTTGGACCGGTTCGAAAGCGAATAGTCGAGGATGCCCACGGGGAATTTGATCGCGTCCGTTCCGGGGGATTCCTCATCCTGGCCCATATGATCGATCAAGACCGTCAAAACATAATGGTCTCCCGCAACAAGCGCATCCGGAAGAGTGAACGTCTCTGCATATGTCTTGTTACTTGGGCTCCCCACCCACGATCCCAGATACGTCGAGTTAAGCCACACCGAGTGTCCAAAGGCCCAGCCGCCGCTGACGTTCAGAAAAACGGATGTCTCGGAGCCAGTGGCAGAGAAATGGCCACGATAGAGAAGTGAGGAGGTGTGAAACCCGTAGTCAGACGCATAGAGGGAAGTGGGTGTCGACAGATTCAGCTGAGGATTGGTTGTCGACGGGTTTGTGCATATTATCCATGCGTCGTCAGAGTAAGCGCCGCCAATCTCCGGCAGAGAGTTCAAGGAGTACCACCTCTGTCCAGAAAGGTTGGGCAACGAGAGCGTCGGAGGTACAAACACGACAGTGCCACTGAGTTTCCCTTGTGAGTCCACTGATGTGGAAATAATCTGGCCGTTCAAGGTCGCTGCAGAAATCTCAGATGGCGCGGAGATGACTTCAAAGGTCGTGGTGGAGTTTATATCTCCGGTGAGATGTAGAGTTGAGCCGTCGATGGACGCCGTGCGCAGAAGATAGCCTCCCTTGACAACCACACTCTGTTTTGACGGGGATGAATAGTTGCTCAGGGGTGGCGACGTCTCCAATTCCAATACCCAATGGGTATACGCATCATTGCGCCACAATAAGTGAATTTCCAGCGTTCCGACCATCACGACCTGGCGATCTGCTGTCACATTCCATTGCAGTACCCAAGCCGAGGGCGTCGGCGTGATCGAGACCCCAGTACCCTCGACGACCTGCGGGTTGGGAAGCGCAATAGGAACGGCGAGTTCGTGCAGCTCGTCGGAGCCTCCGTATACTATCAACACTGTCTTTCCGGTGTAATCCGTGTTCCATGTGAATATTTCGGCAGATGAATAAATCATATTTATGCCGCCCACATCGTAGTCGGTCACAAAGATCTTAGAATCTCGTCCATAAAGAGTTAACTCGCCTCCTTGCTGGGGGACTGTGACCTCTCCAGCGGCAGTTGAGACAGTCAGTTTGAAACTTGTCGTGTCCATGGATGTCCAATTGGCATGGCGAATAACATAAAGGTTGGTGTTGGTTTCTGTCGCTTCGACCGGGGTCACCGTAATGGCGTCTGTGTCAGTGTATGTCCCATTGGTCTCGTTGAGAGCTCTAGCTGTAAGATATTGCGGAGTGACTTTGAGAAAGTTGGCTTGAAGCTTCATTTCGCTGTATTTCTCCCTCCAAACGTGACGATCTTCGGTGATGGCGGCGCCATAATCATAGGAAGAGTCACCGCCTTCATAACCCAAGTTCCCCCAGTTCGTACCACCGTATATCTGGAACAGTGAGCTGAAGGTCACTTGATTTAAGAGGATCTCTTACCATGTATGTATTTTGGATCTTTGCTCCAAAGCTCCAGTTGTTCTTGTGCAAAACTCGAATAGCCTCCTCGTTGACGAGAGCATTGCACATATCCTGCGAGACGCTGCCCCTTGGAGAGTATCAGCAGACGCTCCCAATCAAGTTTCTAGTTGAGACTTACCATGAGGTTCCTGTTCCTCCCTGGAATTCCATCACGGCAAAAGGCGTTGATGGGCTTTGTTGTTGATGCATAATCTGCCAGTTTCTCGGAAACCGAGTATTTGGCCAAACGTCAGGATGAGCACCTACCGACTACATGAGCGAATCTCCCGTCTTGAATCGGTTTAGACTCACAATCATAGCGCAATGGATAAGCGTCGATACCATAAATGTCTGTGGCGCCCGGACCCGTGCCGGGAGCGAAGATGCCTTGGACGAGGTTGTCGTTGAAAGCGAACGGAACGTCGATACCAGCTGCTCTGAACTGGTCCTCGACGTATTTCATATATTCCTTTTGCGGCATTTCCGGAAAATCCCCGGACGGCAGAGTTGGCCACGATGTATACTCGTTTTCCGGCTGCACCATGATGACGGGCCCACCGTTGGTGATTTGAGCTTTGCTGATGATGGCCGCAATCGTCGACACGTAGTTCTGCGTAGCTTCGAGGTAGTCTGGTGCACTTGAACGCAGAGTTCCGTTGATCCTCAATGTCCACCCAGGCAGACCGCCAGCAGCAGTTTCCGCATTGATATACGGCCCGGGTCGGGCAATTAAGTAGATTCCCACTTCGGACGCAGCTGAGAAGAACTCGTCCAAAGCGAACACGCCCTGTGCAATGACCTCTCCGGGTGTGCCTTCCAACAGTCCCCAATCCGTGTAGAACGAAACAGTGTTGTAGCCGATAGCCTTGACCTTCTGAAATATGTCGAGCCAGAGTCCCGGGGATGGAATGCGAAATGGGTGCACCTCGCCAGAAAGTATCATAAGTCGCTCACCGCGAATCATGATGGAATTCTCATCCCAGGTCACCTAGAACAATCCTCAATACCATGCCCCATCAGCACCAGCAGACGTGTCCAATGCTTACCACATCTTGTAGCGGTTGGCCTCGTCGGGAGACACTACCAGCCAACTGGCCGGTCTCACCGTTGACGGCGGAGGCAGCAACGGCATAGGCAGCAGCTAGCCAGGTGATCAAAAGTCTGGTCACTAGTGTCATGGTCTATCAGAACCTGGCCTCCAAATTCATTTGTCGAGGACAGCGGTAACCTACCTCTGGGCTCGGAGGTCCTTATGCCTTGTCGACGGTCCGGGAGTACTCCTCACGGGTCAGAGGCCTAGAGCACCTGTGGGATTCATTTTAGGCAAAATACTTTGGTAGAGTGTTGTTAGCGGTGGTATTTCTAGTGATCGGCGGCGGAGATAATGGAGAGTTGCTGCAAGTCGGGGTTGGCTTGTCGCCATTAAGGGAATTTGCCGGTGGCCATCGTTTTCTCATGTTGTATCCTCTGCATCCGCTGGAAAGGAGCAGATATTAGGCGTAATCTGTCGTATGAGCGTGAGCAGATGAATTTTGATGCCAGACACGAGATGGCAGCCAAACCTGAAAGCTCTTTGCTATCCCCGACATGGTCACTTGATCAGGTATGGTGATGGTGGTGGTAGTGGAGGTCGGGGGCCGGAGTGGCAGGTGGGCAATAATCGCGGAGTAGTCTGGGGTATTGACACGTGACTTGTCTCTGCGGAGGTGCTGAAACGACCTTGCGAAAGCGGCTATGCACGCAGGCTGCACTGCAATCTTAGAGTGGGAAAGCAGTTGATAATGTGGAGCCCAAGCATGGATGCCTCGGTCTGTCTCAATCACGTGGGTCCACATCAATACTCCAGCGTTCTACCTATATCGCAATATAACTTCGTTCACTATACGTCCAGTCCAACACGTCCTGTAGGAAAGGACCAGGTTAAATTCAGGGGTATCATCGTGCCATCCAGACAATGCTTGCAGAAACGCTCACTATCCCAACTCAGTACTACACCCGGTACAATCGCCCAAGCATATCATCGTGGATCGCAGTCGAGCGAACTCATCACCCTTCTGCCAGACTCTCCTTGAGCCCTTCCTCATTAACCATCGTCACTTGCACACCGGTGAGTTTCGGCGCCGGCTTGAATCCGGGTATAGGACCTCTCTGATTAATCCCAGGAAGCCGTCCACCCATGTATGGGAAAGGGGACCCAGCTTGTAGCTGGGTTTCACTCGATGATGATGTGGTTGAAGCGGCCGAGGATGTCAAGTCAGAACTTGACTTCATTGGTGCAATGCCCCATCTGCCTCTTACCCAGCCACCAAGCAGACGCCCCAATCCGGAAGATGCAGGTTGCTGGTCGTCAGGTTGGGAGGATGAAAGATCGGCTAGACCACTCAATGCTGCGACACTCGAGCTTACACTGCGTTGCGGCATTTGATGTCCAGCCGACCTACCGCTCGCCGAGTCTGAGCTCAACGATGTCATCGAGCTCAATGCTGTGTACTCTGTCACCATCGCCAATGGCTGTGCAGAGGCAATCCTTCGAGCTGCAGATGGCGAAAGAGCGAAATATGCCTTGTTCCCTTTCAACGTATTCGACGACTGAGATGTCGACGAAGTCGGTCGCTTGGCGATGTGTATGTCCATGCCAGAGATTGACACTAGAGAGTCGTGCGAGGCCGTCCGGCGGAGGCTGGACGGAGTGGCATCGTCGGAGGTAACATCCAGATCATGGGACGTCGTCGGGTGGCACATACCGTTAATGTGCCCTTCTCCTACTAACTTGTCTGGTATATCCGGCACCTCCCCTTCGATGATTATATCAGGTGGCTCCGGTTCTGGGCGTTCACGAGGCTGTTTGGTTGGGTCGAATTCCAGAGAATCGGGTTGGATGGTGTGATATACCTTTTCACCAGCAACAAGAATTTGTGAAGGTTTGGGAGTCAGCTCATGCGAAGTTGATTCCTTGGCCTCTTCTTGATGATGGAGGTCCACATCACCTTTCAGGTCCGCCTGTTGGGCTTTCGCAAACATTTGTGTGGCGCTCTCTTCGAGTCCCTCCTCTGCGAGCAGGGCTCTTGTTCTCTCATCGTGTTCGGATCCAAATTTCAACCGGGGAGATGCGAAGCCGCCGGTAGACTCGGGACTCGTTGGCCTGGACGACTCTTCTCCAGCTTCAAGCCGGTCGAAGATAGAGCTGGATTGCTCCAAATATGACCGCGGAGAGCTTGGGAAACTAGAGACCACAGACGAGCTTGTGGTAGCGGATTGAACAGACCAGCGTTTCTTTATAGCTTGTGGCTGGTGGAGAGCGATGGGCAAAACCGGGCTGGAGGCAAACCGATGAGGACCGGTGTTCGGCGTCGTAGGTGCAGAAGACTCGGGCGTCGAGGGAAGAAACCCCAGGCCCACCACTGTCCTCTTGCGAGATGATCTTCGAACCGTTGGAGCCCTGTCTCGCTTCGCCAGTTTGGCGTGATAATGGTGGTGGACATGCACCGATTGCTGCACATTCGGAGAAGGCTGTGACCAACCAAGTTGATCGCTCAAAGGGACTGACCCGGAGATGGGTCCAGAACTGCCGTCATCTACTGGCTGATGCTCCAGGATCTGCTCTCTCAGGTTCTGTACTTCTTCGTTGGACGCTTGGAGCAGCTCTTTCAGCTCGACGATCCCAGCTTGTAGATTCGCATTGTCTTGAAGGATGTCCCTGACAAAGTGGCCGACCACGTTGGTGTTCTTTTCATCTGCGTTGAGACCTCTGAAGGCAGCAGCGGACTTCAGTCGACCTTCCGCACCACCCAATTCTCTCTCAAAAACACGCTCACGCTCCAGCCTGGCAATGATCTCTTCGTAGCGTTCTCTGTCCTCCTTCGCATCCCATTCAATTCTTTGAACTTCACGCTCAAGCTGGTGGACTTTGATTTCGCTCTCCCTCCACCGCTTGATCGTGCTCCGGATTTCACCCCTCGAATCATCTGCTTGTTGGGTCAAGGCCATGCGTTCCTTCTCCATTTCGAGTATTTTGAGCTCCAATTCTTCTGTACGCCGGCTGAGGCCGTTCAATCTCCGAACCTCGACTTCGCAGTCACGAAGCAGTGACTCAAGACTCTTGACATGGTGATCGCTTTCCTTGAGGGACGTGTTGGCCGTTTCGAGCTGTGTCAAAAGCTGGCGATTTTCCTCCACAATCTTGTCATTTGTGGACTGCAAAGCCGCCCTTTCGTTTTCCAGTTCGTTGATATAAGCTGTGAGGCGCCGGTGCTCGTGCTGCGATTCGGACACGTAGGATTCATGTCGACTGAGAAGTGCCTGAAGAGCGAATGTTAGCCCGCTGCCCATCTGCATGTTCTCGAGAGCGGCTGAGCAGCCAGCTGCAGTGGGAAAAAGGAAATCCATTTCATCGGACAGAGCATGAGGTGCGCTGAACAGAGATAAACAGGGCATGCACAAGCAAAGTTGGAGTGAATGGCCACAACTCGACACTCTCACATTGCGCCTTCCCAAAATTCACCGTCCACACCAAACAAGATGTGCACATCCAGGCGCAACCAACGGTGGGTGGGCCATAACAAGAGCATCACCCGAAGTTCCGAAATGTTGTGGTGCACATACCTGACCCAGTCTTGCCGCGGTCTCGAGATCTCTCTCTATGCCGCCTAAGATAGTGTTGTTGTTCTCCAGATAGGCACATTCTGGCCGCCCGCAGCAACACAGCAATTTCCCATCGCTAATTGAGGGTTGGGAGTCATTGGACGGGGTCATAACGGTGGTGTTAACGTTGTCCGGAATGCGGTCTGGGCGCGTGTCCATGCTCGGCTGGGTAGGGAGATCATCGTTTGTGGCGCAGAAGGATCGGAAGCGGAGCGAGGTGTTATTGAAGGGCGACGACATAGTGCGGTCAGCATGGTGCTTGATCTTAGAGAGAGCCGCACAATCGAGAAGCAGGGCCGCAGGTGAGAGGAGAGGAGGGGAGTCAAGTTGAAAGTGGTCGAGTTGCTCGAGATAACCGGAATCCTGGCACCGAGTCGCGTTGGGATGGTGGAGAAGGTCGTTTTCCAAGGTGGCACTCGATCGCCGGCATGCGGTCGGGGAACGATTGGCCCAACCTCGTTCTTCGAGTCTCTCCAAAAAGGTCTCCAAGACGGTCACTGACACCCTATCATCGTCATCAGTGTCGACCATCCATCAAACACCCGCTAAAATGACAAGCAACCCACAGAGGGTGAAGCCACACTTACCCAGGAAGGGCACCGGAAAACAGGCACCACTCACAAGCATACACGGATTGAACTACGGAACTAAAAATATCAATAACAACGAGACGAACAGAGGATGGAAATGCGACATGTATGTAGCCTGAAGTCTATCGTGTTGTGAACTAACTGCAAGGACGGCCCTCAGTCGGGTTCCTGCATGATCGGCCCTCGTCTCCTCCTGTCAAGAGCCCTCTGCACCGCTGCCCTCACGTCCGGGTTCCTCCTCAATGCACTTGTGACCAACGACTCCTTCATTCCCGCCCTCAGATGGTCTGATTTCTCTGCGTCACCTTTAAATGGGCTCAACCCCAGCTGGAGCAACCCACCGGACTCGGCGTCTAACCTGCCTGCTCCTTGAGCCAAATGTGCAATCTGCTGCTGAGTCTGCAGGTCCCGCATGACCGTATCCCGTGCCTTCGGAGGTGCGAGCTGAGAGATGAAAATGTTCACAGACATAGACATTCGTCTCGCTAGGCCCAGGATTTGAAAAGGGAGAAGATGGGGTGGCAGGAGGTCTGGTAGGAGCTTCTGAACCGTCGACACCCAAAACACCACAAGTTTTGGAGGCTGCCAGACGTGAGTAAGGAAGTACAGCTCTAGAAACGCCATGCAGGCAACAGCAAAGTAGCGCCAAAACTGTCCCCATTTTGGCAGCCAGATGTAGTTGAGTAAAACAAGCAGTACTGCATTGGATAGGTATTCAGGAGCTTTGGAACGAAGGCCGGCGTAGACATAGTCTCGAATGGTTTTAAGCCCAGGATGTTGAACCTGAACAATGACAGGTCCGAAACGATCATATGCAAATCGCTTCGCAGGATCCAAAATAGTGTCATGCGCCAGTTTGAACCGGACGAACACTTCATCGGCACCTGGAAAAGGCTGACCATTCTCATGTAGTTTGTCTGGGTGATATCTTGCCGCCAACTTCCTGAACCGACTCTTGACTTCCCGCTCCGTTGACCATGGTGTGACTCCAAGGAGAGTGTAGAAATCTCCAGCGAGTCTGGTGTCATAGAGGGCTTGGGCGAGGGTGTATATGAGGTAGAGAGACAAAACCAAGACGCGGATACGGCGGTTATGGTGGGCAAATATGGGGTCGCCAGGCTGCGGATGCCGTTGTCCAGCCCGGATAGTCAGACGGTAGTAGATGGACTGCAGGAAGGCCGTAGCGTACTGTCTTCAGATCAGTATGCTAGTTCCAAAGACGTTGAGCCACTTACAGCAGGGAGGAATGCCCATCCAACAAGAGAGAAGGCTTGTGTCACCACGCCGTCAGCCATTTCAATCGGTCAAAGGAGTCAAAAACAGCATAAATCGCTCGGTCATCAGGACATATCCAAGGAAGAAGCAAGTGTCTAAGTGATCTGCGTCTGCGTCTGTGCAGAAGAACAACTGCCCACGTCGCTGGAGGTTGTTTCTGTCATGACAGTCAACGAATGTGGACGCGCGTGGGAATCCTGCCTCCGCAACAGTTCGACTCGTCAGAGAAGACACGTCAAAACTGCGCGCACCTCACGTATAGCCCGCCCTCGTCCGCTGCCGCTTTTATAATCAGATTCCTCTTCCGTTCGCACTCACGTCGCTCACACTCAAACTCATTCTTTATCGTAAACTTACTCCATTGTATAGCGCCAGCTAGATTCCAAATTTAGTGGCTCGTCGATAATTTCCTCTCCCATATCTTTCGCTCGGAGAAGCCCTTTGCGTGTTGAATGTCAGTGGCAATCGACCAGCTTATGAATGAACAGCAAAAGCTGAACTCCTCATACCTACGAAAACCCTGCAAGATCATTCAAGAATGTGCAAGAATTGGGTCTTCTCCTTGAAGAAATCAATTCACTCGGGAATAACAATCTCAAGAATTACAGATCCCTAAATTTTCCCAGTTCCACTACCCACTTCAACAGCAAGCTGTCCATCAGTTTCTCACAATCCCTTTTCTACCAGAAAAATTCAGCCTACGGGTGATGAAAGTGGATTGACTGAACCCCCAGACCAGGCACCCTTGACACACACACAGAGGATGTCCTATGCCTCCTAAATCTCTTCCCAGCTCAACGTTGTTGGCATCTCGGTTATGAGTGACGGAGTCTAATAAGCTCCTCGGGAACGCTTCCAAGGAATGCCACCTCGTTCGGTGTCCTCCTCCCGTTTCCACGGAATGCCTCCTCGCTCAGTGTCCTCCTCGCGCTTCCAGGGGATACCGCCTCGCTCAGTATCCTCCTCACGTTTCCACGGAATGCCACCGCGTTCGGTGTCTTCCTCACGTTTCCAAGGGATGCCACCGCGTTCGGTGTCCTCCTCGCGTTTCCAGGGGATGCCGCCTCGTTCGGTGTCTTCCTCGCGTTTCCAGGGGATCCCGCCTCGTTCGGTATCTTCTTCGCGCTTCCACGGAATGCCACCGCGTTCGGTGTCCTCCTCGCGCTTCCAGGGGATCCCGCCTCGTTCGGTGTCTTCTGCGCGTCGGTAGATGCTAGGGGGCTCAGCACCTTTGGCGATAGGGGTCGCCGCTGTCATGCCTGCAATTGCGGCAATAAAAATGAGTGAGAACTTCATATTGGATTGAGGTGTTGCTGCGGGAGCTGATTGGGCTGCGAAGATTGAGTTTATAAGATTGCTGGTGTCTCTGAGGCTCGTGCTGCAGTGAATCCGATCAGGTGAGTGAGCATACGGAGTGTGAATTCAATGCTCGGCCAGGGACTTGGCTTTAAGCTTGATCCCGTACGTGCTTGTGCAACCTGGGCAGGATGCTGTCTTGGTGGTGCAGAAAGTTGTACGATGACGTTGACCAAGTCTGTGGTGTGAGATTCGATGACAACAGTATACTCGCATGATGGTTGAGGGAGCGAATCTCTTGAGATAATTGCTTATAATAGCATTGACCTGGTGAATTGTAGAAACAATATGCGTATACTGGAGCAAAATTGGGCTATGAAACGTGATGTGGCTGGATTGCAACACCCAAACTACTCAAGAATCTCTTCCACTGCCTCAAAGATTCTTGCTCGTGTAAGCTGTAACGATAGAGATCTGCATTACGTTGGAAGCTCCATATCGTGTAATACATTGGCAGCATGACCGGTCACCTCCCAAAAGGGGCTTCAGCCTTGTTGCTTATATGATCATTCTTTGCGCTGATTCCTGAGGATCCAACAATCCCCGCTTCTATAGTGGAAACAGAGCTAAGCACCAATGGCATAAGCAAACATTGCTCATGTGAGCCACCACTCCCTGCCGAGGCTTCCCAACGACCATGGGGGGCGGATGTATCATCGGCTTGTCTGCTCTTTGCCAGAGGTTGAAAGCGCGACAATCAAACACACACAACCACAAGCCCATCATTTCAGGCCTTGATTTGGCACACGGACATCGCTACACCAAGTCAACGCCATGGACGACTCTGAGCCCTTCTTGCCGGCGAAAATCGAAGCCTCTGAAGACCATTATCACTCTCTGAATTGGCTTTTACCACGACGGCGCGCAACTGACAGAATCCTCAAATCGGCAATTGTGTCCCACCTGGCGGTTTTTGTTGCGACTACGCTTTTGTGGGGAGGCATTTTCCTTCTCGCCGCACATTTCTCCCCAGCAGTGATCCACCACCCGGAGATGTCTTCGAACACCGCCGTGGAAAACTCACCCGCGCACACCAACCATGTCGGAAAGCTGTTGGCCAACGAGGTCGACTATCTGACCTGCGGCGCAACCCGCGAGGAAGCCAAGACTCGGGGGTGCATCTACGACACGCTGAGCAACGCCTGGATCCCCGGCCAGTGTCAGGATGACTTCTCGGTCATGGAGTACGAGCTCGACGGGTCCTGGTACCCCTTCGCCGACGTGAACAGGACATTACCGCTGCGCAAGGAGGAACTGGGGGATCTGGATTTCTACTACACCTCGCTGCGGGATCACATTGTACACTGTGCCGCGCTCTGGAGGAGGCAATTCCGCGCGTGGTCGGAGGGCTGGCGGTATCTCGACGACGTGCTGGTGGACCCGGTCCATACGATGCATTGCTCCAAGTACCTGGTGGACTGGACAGATAAATTCGAGAACGAGTACCGGACGACTGCCATCAAGGTCCACGTCGGCCACGTGGGCTGTCATGTATTAGCTTGATAGGAATGCTCTCTCATCTGCTCACTCGCTTTGCCTGGCTCTGCTCTCAGATATTACAGCGATAAAGTGATGCAAGCAAGTTATGTATTGAACAGACGGGCTCTGTAGTATCATATTCCCTTACAACATCTTAATCTTTGCCATTGTCAGCTGAACTTCCATCACTCTGAGATACATTGGTCTCTCTCAGTAACCACTCCATCTCTCTCTGCAAATCGTCCCAGAACCGTTGACAGGCTTTGAGCTCCCAAAACTGAGCAAAGTTGTGGGGCACCCCCGGGTACACCTGCAACCTCACAATGGAACCTTGTTGCTGAAGCTTCTTCGCATACTGTAGACCCTCGTCTCTCAGCGGATCCTGACCAGCAACACATATGATGTGTGGCGGTAGCCCGGAAAGATCGTCTCCGAGTGGCGAGGCAAGGGGATCTGGTTGAGGTCCTGGGGAAGGTCGTATCATGTCCCACACAGCCATCAAACCACGCGAATCCGAAAATGTACCTATGCATTGCTCGTACGACGTCTCTCTCTTCTTCATATGTGGCACAATAGCAGACATGTCGCGGTAGTCACAAAGAACGGGAACGTTCAGGATCACCCCGGAGACGGGAATACCGTGGTTGCGGCATCGATGCGATAAGACGGCGCTGATGCCACCGCCAGATGAGGAGCCTGCCAGGTAAAGAGTCTTTGGATCGATTTGAACAGGACAATCCGCCGGCAAGAAGGGTCGTGTGTCATGCAAGAGTCGCTGCAACACGTCCCAGGAGTCTTCAATCCAGGTTGGGAATCCGTGCTCCGGCGCCAGACGATACTCGACGCTGACAATGATGACATCAAATCTATTGTAAAGTGGCCAAAGCAGCCACGCTTCTTCGGTCTGGTGCGTGCCCTGGATCCAACCTCCGCCGTGCGTCACGAATAATACTGGTAATGGAGATGAGTTTGCCGCCGAGGCGCCTCTAAACCGTTTGTCATGTCGTGGGTTCGCTGGCCAGGAAACCTTTACACTGCATAAGGTATCGTCACGAACACGGATGTTGGTCAGCAAGGTCTCGTAACCAACGCTGGAGAGTGGATGGTCGCGGGCCCAGACTGCCTCCGTCTCGGCATTTGCCTCTCTGATTGCTTTAAAGTTCCAGGAATGTGCGTCGAATCGCGGCAGAGAATGTTTGTCGAGAGGTTCATCTGGAGGAAGGGGAAAGCCGTGCTTGACTGCATAGGCTGCCCAGTCGGGATCAGTTGTGAAGAAATCGGGCACAATCATGTTTGAAAAGCTTCAAAGGCTCACGTGTCGGGAATGGTCTCCAAGGTCTCTGCACACTCTTTGGCCTTGTGCTCAAAATGCAGTCGCAGCAGAGCAGATGTTGGAGGGAATCAGGTTGTGGTGAAAAATGCGGTTATCTGATTGGTGGACCTTGCTCACCTCAGCGTTGAAGTCTCCAGTTTTCTAACGCTAGTATACATGTTGAGAGGCTTCGGCCCCTGATGGCGAGAGCACACACACCACTTGAAAATGGCTTCAAGCATTCGTGCGGTCGTTAAGCTCGCTCAACATTCACAAACTCGAGTAGTGAGCCTTTTTCACAAGCCTTCAACGCAAGCCGCTATGGAAACCAAGCACTCCCCAAGGTTCGATGAATTCATCCACTGGACTTGACAGAGAGTACTAACAGACTCTACACAGCGCGATGGACTTAGAGTCCTCTGTTGGACTACTCGACGGTCAAGAACCAGATTCCAGCGCGTCCAAGGAGCTCGAGGAATTTGTGCGATCAGAGCTTTCTGTCGGCAAGAAGAGATCACTGCGAGCAAAACTTGTCATCTTCGCGCTCCGATTCTTTGTCGGACTCATGGCATTCATAGGAATCATGAATACGGTCAACTCCTTGGTAAACATGCGCGTCGAACGATTCGTTCCATCATACGACAACCCCAAACACGCAGCCGAATATTCGAATCACCCTTGCTACTGTGGAGAGAGCGTGGCAGAAGCTCTATCCAAAGGATGCGTCTTCGATGAGTTGTCGACAGCCTGGCTGCCAGAGCGCTGCCGAGACGAGGAGCTTGCGGCCGAATTTGCATCAAAGGGCGACGGTCCGAATGGAACATGGCTGTACTGGGCAGACAAGGAGCATACACAGCCGTTGAGTGTCCATGACATTTCAATGTACGCAGACCTGGGTACCCGTCACTTGTTCCATATGAGTATCCAGTGGCATCGGCAACACTGCCTGTATTCTTGGCTCAAGGAACACCGTTTCAAGACGCGACCTGATAAGGTCTTCGATCCGCGGTCCGACTCAGACGGCCATATCTACCACTGTATGATGGTCTTCAACAGCCCGAGAGAGGAGACGGAAGCTGGTGCGGTCCTCGAAGTCTAGAGCAATATTGAATTGGATTTGTGGCGACATCTATTATCTAGCTGTTCGACACAAAATGCAGAGCGTTGTGACTCCTGGTTCTCAGCCGTGGTCATGAATCTAGTATTCTAGTAATTACTTCGTCTTGACGCGAACATATCTTGTTCTTCTAAGGCTTGAATCTGTCTGGTTTTCTCATCTATATCTCAAGTAGAACCAGAAATACGACTATAGAGAGTCGCTAAAAGAAGGCAAAGTCGCTGCCACTTCCCAAACACTTGTACTAGCATGTGATCTCATGGGCGCCAAGTTTATTCGTACCCTCATAACTCCTTTACAAGCGCAACGTTTCAGCCGGCCTGCGAGCGATTGAGTCTGATGTTGTCGCGCCTAGAACGATCCTTGACTATCAGGAGGCGCGGATGCCATCATACCATCAAGGTCTCGAACAGACGGATGATTATCAGCGAGTAGCAACTACTTGATTCGTGATCTTAGCTGTGCAGTATTCATGCCCTCATCATGATGTGATCCACTTTTGCGGAGAGGTGGATCCTCGCAGCCTTGCAGCTCACAACATCTCATAGCCTGAGATCACCACATAGGACTTCACGTAAGCAAGCAACCAATGGTCATCATTCGCTCGCCGCAGCCCCTGAAAGGTGTCGCTTATGATGGAATACCACGACTCCAGCTCGACAGACCGGAGTTGAAACCCTCCAGAAGAGCCAGAACTTGTGCTGGTAGTCTTGGAGAACGACTGTCACTACGAAAGTCGAATTTCTGCATGTCAACACCAAGCTCCGATTTCCCAGCAAGATTTCTGGACCTGGACGAAATGATGGTCGACTTCAAATTCCTCTGGCCGAAAAGGAAGGAATATGCACCCATCGCCGTGCAAGAAGATCACTCGCCGGCAGATGAAAAGTTTCTAGAGAAGACCGAGATTTTTCAAAACCCCCATGGTTCCCGGAGGAGTTCACAGACACCATGGGTAGTCCTCACATTCATTTTCGTCGGACTTTCGGGTCTCCTCCTTTTCCACGATCTGCGGCGTGGAGGACGGGGAAGTTTTGACGCCGGGTACCACAATGACATGAGTGAGTAACCCTGTGGCCTTTCATCCGCCTTGAGACGGTCCATACTGACCCATATCGATCTCTAGTCCTGGCCAGATCGGCGATCAAAGTGTCCCAAGTTAAATTTACGGGCGGAATCAAGTTCTACGACAACGGCACCATGTATCGCGACAATGGGCCGGGTCCGTCGTACGTCGGTCGCCCGACTCCGGAGATGGACGACGCCTGGGAGGAGCTGATCGGCACGCGCTACCTCGCCTTCACGGAGGACCAGAAGTCCTCGTTCTCCGTCCGGATCGACAAGGGCAGCGCCGACGGCCTCTACCGCGCCGGGCCTGACGCCTTCCACTCACTCCACTGCGTCGACAAGCTCCGGCAGACCATTGACGGGTACATGTACGACATCCCCGACAAGGTGGACGAGAGTAGGAATAACGTGCTGCACATCGAACACTGTCTCGATTTCCTCAGGCAGCTGGTCCAATGCACCTCGGATCTGACGCCCATCCCGCTGGTGTACTCGATCGGCGCGGGTATGGAGGTGCCAGATTTCGAGCAGGTGCATACCTGCCGCAGTTTTGACACGATCCATCGCTGGGCAATGAAGCAGAACCAGGACGCCCTAAATACATTGGAGGACTAGGGATAAAGTTGGGAGCGATATCAATTGGTTGCATACTGTTAGCCATGCAAATGCTTTTCTCTGCATTCGTGGCGTATACCGGATCTCTCTATCTGTAGACGGTTCTCATCTTCACATAGTTACCCGGTTTTTCAAAATATATACTTGCGAAAGCATGAAAAGCTCCGGCACAGATAAGGGTTCCCCGCAGAAAAACCGTCTTCAAAGGTCGATGAACGTCATGGTCACCATTGCAGCATAGCAGAATTTTCAGGATGTCAGCTTGAGGCAGAGTTGCTAGTATGCCTGTAGAACCATCTCACTCCTTCGAGGCTGGCTGCTTGCTGCTTGCTGCTTGCTGCTTGTATCCCATTTATCAAAGCTGGGGCTTGCTTCTCTCAACCGACGCACAGCTCATCGAAATGTGTACAAGTGGAAGAATGGATGTAACCCGTGGCTGGTCTAAATTTGGATCAAGGTGCAGTGGTGTTCCTCCTTCCACCGCTGGGGAAGCACAGATTCCTTTCTTTTCTTAGGATGAAAAATACTAGGCCAGATGCATACACCTGTCCACGCTGAAATCGTTCAACTAAGTCACTACATAGTAAGTCTACGGAGCGCACAACCACTGCCTGTAGGCAGCCAGATATTAGGGGTTCGCAAACACGCCAGGCTTCAACCTCTGGGCATTGTCTCTCCACAGCGCCTCGTCGAGGGCGTCGCGCTGCTTGGCCCACTTCTGCATCGCCTTGAAATCTCGACACGTGTGCTGAACTTGGAAGACTGGCTCCAGTCCTCCATTCGGCCGGAAAGTGGTGTGTATCTCCGGAATCGGCGTCATATCGGCCTCGCACATTAAACTCTGGCGGATGGAATCGATGCAGTGCTCTGTTTTGCAAAGTTAGCGCCTAGCTCTAAGACCTTGAGGACCAGGGGCGGAGTTTCGTACGGATGTGAGGCTTGAAGCTGGGAGTGAGCTCTTCGGGGTAGTATTGGATGTATACTCCACGGCGGATAATGTCCTTGACGGTCAGTAACAGACAACACGACAACGCCAGTGAGATAGAACGTACAAGGCAGTGCAAGTTATGAAAGACGGCAGGGCTGCGAACTTGAAGTTAGCTCTCTTAATCAATGTTGTGATATATCCCGTGGCAACTACTTACACAGCCTGATATAGCCCTGTGAATGGGTCAGTGTACAGATGAGCATCCGGCGGCACCTCTGCAAAGGCTCCGTCGTTCCCAATTATTTCGTCGACCTCCTCTCTTGTCAGGAAGATATCCGTTGCTGAACAACGTCAGTAACTCGTTTTGGGATCTCAAGCGGGCGAGGTCCAAGCAACTCACTCGAGATCAACTCTTGCCAGGCTGCATCGATCTCAGGACTGGGAATGCCGCCGTAGTCTGGAATTGTCGGGTCGATTTGCCGGATGAGGTGGCTTGTCTCATCCCACTTCAACCCGCCTGAGAATTTGACCTGCGTCGTTCTTGCAGGGACTTCCCGTTGTGCGATCTCTAACGCTCTTCGTTGGTAACCTGATTCAAGGCACTAATCTGGGAGCCTGTGGATTTACTAACCAAGGTCCGAAGATCCCCAATAACCGACTGGGACACATCTTCTAGACTGATAGCGCCAATGTTGCAGAATCAAGACGAACAGCATAAATCCAGAGAGTAACCAGGGAAATGCCTGCCGCAATTGCACGCATTTTCGTTTCTTTGGGTTTGTGTATTTGAGTAGCTGCTCGCTGTCTGAAAGATCGCGGACGGTCTCAGAGCTCGCCCTAGAAGCGCTTGATTCAGATGCATCTTCCATATTCGTCGCGGATACGTGATATGGCTTTCGGAACAACGTCGATACGATAGTGGCGAGCCACGAAGGACTGCCTCCAGTGATTGTAGATGAATTGGCCTTGGATTGAGGACGGTCGCAGGCATGTGTGCAGAGACATCTAGTGCAGAGGTCACCAGCCCCAACATGGCTGCATGCAAGAAAGATCATGTTGTGATGGATGATGTGAGCAGCCTCATTTCATCTGTTTCGGGCTTAGTGCAGTTGCTGAGATCAGGGGGGTTTTGGTAAGCATCCGGAGATGTGAGCATGGGGCTCCACCGGGATGCCTTACCCTGGATATTCAGCCTCGTCGTCGAACCCCCTCGAGCGTGAGCTCTCTGCGCCCCGTCAACCAGTTCGCAAAATTTGACAGTCCCCCTTATGTGTGTAAGAGTTTTGAGCTTTCCTGTTAGAAGAGAACAGCTCTATTGACCGAGAATGCAGGAACCTCTCATGTCGTCGCAGGGGTATCGTGCCCTTCAAGAACATCCGCCGGAAGATGACAAGGACATGATGCGCGATCTCGAACAGACATCTCTCGTCAAGCCAGACTTTATAGTCGACAGAGAGCACACAGCGATAAGCTTGCGCAGTTCACCAGTTCGGAGGTTGGCGTTGTATATCGGCATACTCGTGTTGATAGCCTGCACGGCAATCGTCTTCGCCTCTGTCGTGCCGTTCAATGGCATCAGCATCAAAAAGAAATGGGATTTTCCTCCTCCAGAAGTTCATGTCCCCGGAGTATCGAAGTCGAACGACCGCCTGCACCCGTGCGGCAACTCATCCGCGGAAGCTCAGGCGCTGGGCTGCAAGTTCAATCAATTAACGTGGGCTTGGTTGCCGGCAAATTGCCCGATGTACGCCAACAATGAATTCCTGGAAGCGGAAGATTGGGTCTATTGGGAAGACCTGGATCAGACAAAGCCGGTCGGGGACGATGTCTGGGCGGAAGTGCTCGACGGCGACAGGAAGATTTTCGCTGAGCTGCGAGAGCATGCAACACATTGTGTATACTTTTTCCTCAGTCTGTCTCAGGTGATTCGTGACGGCACACCATACTATGACAAGATGGTAGAGTACAAGCATCACGAGCATTGTGCCAACATGCTTCTTGGGTTGCTAAGGAAGTTGCCGGAATGGCACGAGTTGAACACGTTGGCAGGGACGGTATCATTCGACCAATACTGCGCATAGCGTGAAGTGAAGTTGCCGGCGTGTGTTTATAAAATCACCTCCAATGTCGATAGGTCTTCAATGTTCTCGCTATAGACCTAGGTACAGAGGTACAAATACCTCTGATGAGACATGTTACCCTGAGTCCCAATTCCGGACGCTGGCTAGTGCGAGGACCTCGGTGGCAGCAGTCTGGTGGGTGTACGTTATTTGGATCTTAGATTTATTGTTATTGCCGACCCATGATGTGACTTGAGTTGCTAGACCAGCTTTCCTCAGATCGTAGCGGCTAAGACATCTGTTCACAAGTCGATATACCATAGAGACATTGTATGACGCTGTTTCATGTTCGACACTGAGGAAGACTACTACAACGGAGGATAGACTAGCTGGCGCCGGATGCCACCCTATGTTGTCTTGTGTATCTCGCAGCGGACTCAATTTCTCGAAGAGAGTAGAAGAACTAGTGACCTGTCTGACATGACCAAGTAAGGAGTGCATGGTTTCAGAGATGGGAATGCCGGCGAGCGCCCGCAGTCGTGAGGTCCGTCCAATTTGTACATGCGTGTCAGATGAGGGAGCCTGGCTGCGGATATCACAGGGAAAATCCAAGCAGACCAGGGCCTGTGCGAGCTGGTCTGGTGGCGACAAAAAATAGTCCAGGCGGGTACCAGCTCGATCGACTCACAGCGCGACCTTGGGGGGACATGGCCGGATGCAAAAGCATCCAGCGAGACGAGGCATTTGGGCATCGGGGAACAGCCAAGAAGGTCCTCCTCCAGGGCGGCACCACGGACGCGTCGCACCAATGATTCAGACATCTGGAAGGAGGATTTGAGCACAGAGGAGTGGGCCTGAGGAAGCACAATAATCTGATGGAGGAGAATTGCGCCGACAAGCCAGTGAGAGCGGCTGCATGTTCGCTTGAGGTTCCTTGCTCCTGCACTCACAACACCAAAACTATAACGTTTTACCTTGGGTGATCAAGCATGCCAAGCTATATTCACACAAGTGCCTTCATCCTTTGCAAACGTAAGCACTTAGGCCAAGCAGATCAAGATGTTTGGTGGGCATTGTTCGACCTTTCCCGAGTATCTTGCTGAGATTGAAGTACTTCAGCCCCCGTCTCTCCCCCGTCTCTTGCCGTGGATGATGGAGGATTACTCATCAGCGGCATTCAGGGCTGTTAGACGACTTCAATTTTACATTTGACGAGTTTCCACCCTTACACCGCCTTTGAAGAGACGATTCTTACTCCTGTGGCCCCACCGGGGCCTCCGCCGCTGGCCTTCGTGAGATCTCTTCGCACCGCGCCAAATCGCGTAAGGTGTCTCGGCTACTCACTTGCACACGAGTACTCCGCACTTGACCAATCGTCCACGGAATCTCTCATAAGATATTCGATGGTTAACTCGCAGACTTTTGCAGACCATTTGCGGAGGTGGCCGCACGAGACCTCGTTCAACGCACGGAGGTTTAGCGCTGACCCCTCCTTTATACCTCCGAAGACTATCCTAATTAGGTATTCCTGGAACTCAGTCGGTTCTAAAACTGCGCAAGGAGACTTAGCCACGAACCCCTCAAAATAAGTGCTTGGCCAGGCTACGGAGGGAGGCCGCAGCAGGGTCCTAATTGTTTGTGTTGAAGTATTTGCAGCATTTCCTCCGTACACGACCCATGGCCTCTTACGTGGGCGTACCGCAGTCCATGCGAATTTCGACAAACAGTGATTTCGCGCAAGGAGCAGCTTCTCGATGGCTTGCAACAAAAATTGATGATCTCGACGTCTTCGTCCCGGTAGGTGCTATCTCTTATAACTTAGCAGCAGCTCCACCATTTTCTCACTTCCTGCTTTGACCGCAGCTATTATGACACTGATTCCGTCCACATCCACAGCATTGATACTGGCTCCAGCTTCGAGAAGCACCCTGGCCGCGTCCGTATGTCCATGCGTTGCACAGTGATGTAGCGGCGTCCTCCCTCGTTCATCTCGCGCATCCACGCGGAAACCAGTACGTAGGAGGATGGAGAGAATTCGCGTTCGGCCTTCTCTTGCCGCCAAATGCAACGCCGCACTGGCCTGCACGCTTTCTTGACATGTTATCGTCGGCGCTACGGACTCCTCGGATGGAGTCAAGATGCTCGTGTTGGTGTGACTGTTCAGAAACTCCAGGCCTGAAAAATCCATATAGTCCACAAAGGTCTGGTCGGACAAAGGGGTGTGTAAAGCTCCAAAGGGAGCAGCATCCTCTCTCGGTTTTACAGAGAGGCCTTGGTTGGGTGTCATTGGCACTCCTGTGTTTGCTGCGCGCCCTTCTCCTGGATCGTCTTGTAGGGAAGCAAGACTGCTGCTCGTAAGGGTTCGGGGTTCGCCAGGGCGAGGAGTCCGAGTTCCCGTTCTTGAGATGGCAGCCGGGATTGTTGGTAGATTCTCCTGAGATGCGCTGTCCGAAAAGTTGAAAGAGTTTATCACGGCGTCCCGATGACAAGGATGAGCTGGTGGAGTAGGTGCATCTGCAACATGAAGCGTATTGACTTCGTGATTGTTTTCAAGCCCTCGGCAGTGGCTGCATTCCGGACATCGTGGCTCTCCCAATTCGAGATCAACCACATCACTGAGTAGTTGGCGAGCTTGTTGGGCAAAGGCTTCAAGTGTTTTTGTGCGGCTAGCTATCTTGTCTCCTGGTTTGGGTCGGTCAGTCACTCTGGGTAACCACTGACGAGGTCAAGCGAGTTGGACTCACGATACCTTCGTTGAGCTATTCTGTTTTGCTGTTTTCGCTTTTCCCCCGGGCCATTGTCCTTCCCCCTGGACTGGACTGTGTCGAGCGCTGCACCACTTGGGGTGGCTTGCATGGTTACGATGATCAACTATCAAACCACCTATCAGTGAGAAAGCAGGCCACCTATCCAAAGCGGTGGGTCCTGATAATGAGGAGAGAGAATGCTCTCGTCGGGATATATTGAAGCCTGCAGTTTTGATGAATAAGTTGGCAATGCATTCATATAGGAGGCCGCTTCGAATCGCTTCTTAAATTAACAGAGGCTCTTAAATTAGGTCAGCATGAGCACTGCAGGCGTGAATCTGTGACATTGATCCTCCAGCGGCAACCAGGAAACCCCCTTTTAGCGTGATCAGCAGCAGTGAGCCCTCAGTAGGATCCGACTGGCGACAACAAAAGCCTGTAAAGGGCTGTTTGGTCCGTGGTGGAACTGTGATAACTTGTGGTTAATTAGCCGACGAATATTCCGATGTGGATTGTCCCAAAGGGAAAATCCCGCGTCCTGTTACACTGCTGCAACCATTCCTTCCGCAGCCATATGAATTCTACTCATTGGCTTGTCTTACCCTCGATCTCTACTGCAGGGCCGCGACAATTGGTCGTGTGATATATCGATACCTCTCTGAGTACGTGTCACTGGATAACCCACAGTTCGGGAACCTGGACAGTGGGCCTCGATCACCAAGGGGTAGAGTCTGTGCTGGCTGGGACCACATAGTCAGAGTCTGAAAAAACATATCAGTGGAGAATACTCGGTCGCCTTAATTGCCCAGACAAGTTAGACGTGGTCGATTGCCGGTTTCACGCAGACTGACAGTATTCAGCTGCGTTTGGCTTTTCGGCCAAATACAAAATCAAGTCTCAGGGGTATCCTGAAGTGGTTGGTCAAAGCCTGAAGTACGAGGCGCTCATATCTGTCTTCCGTCCCGGGGCGACTGCTGCAGATCAGTTTTAACGAGTGCTCCTGTTTGAAATTGAGATCTCAGGGCTAGCTATGTGGTTGCATAGTCGAGTGGGTCTTCATAAGGACAAACCTTCTAGCCTTGGCCCCGCGTAAGCTGACCGGCATTTTGGATGTTCAAATAATGGATAGCTTCTCGTAGGTAGGTCCTAATTGGCAACCGGCATTATCGCGTACCATCGGACAGGTTAAGCTAAGCATGCTTATTTGAGATTGACCATGTTCCCGCACAATACATCAAAGGGAGATACGAGGCGGGCCGTCCGTGGCCGCCCCCTCGATAAGGCTTAGGGAGGAATTGGCGAGTCTGTCCATGCAGCCACTTTCTGTGGGTTCTGCCCACTCCCCGAGTTTGAGCCGTGGTACATGTTAAGTGCGGCTCATGGTGCCATGATCCAGAATGTTGCCTCAACGATCGTGGGGATGGCTAGAGATAGGGAAGACAGGTGTGAGTGCTCTTGGCCCCAAGGTTATCGTGTAGCTGTGAAAGGGGATCCGCCTTACGAGTAGATGGTCACATCAACTGTGGGGTTAAATCTGTTACGGACGAGCAGGTCAAGGCTCCGGTCAGGCCCGTGCCACGCAGCCCCTTGACTCAGCTACGCGTCGATGTCTATACGAGTACTCCAATTAAACTAGATTCGAAGCTTTCTTGGTTCCATGATCCCACCGCTGAGAGCGACGAGTTACTTGTGACGGAAACGAAACAACTGGCCCCCAAGTATCAACCAGCGCCTGGGAACACTCGACTCCTGATTCGCTTATATAACCAAGATGTGATTCTGGCAGGAATCGCATCCTGACGAGTATTAATCTCGCCAAGAACCGATCCCTTATCGAGTTTTATGCTTGTCCTAGTTAGAGGAGAGACTTTATCATTTTAGGCAAGTGCATCGCTGCTAAAGACGTTAACGACGTAACAGAGAGGGGATTAGTAATATCGGCCCTACCCAACCAAGGATTCGTAGCGTCCACACCAGTGCCGGATTTGTATGCTGCTGAGTCGGCAGTGGACTCGTAGGAATTAAGTCCTGGCTCTGCTGATTTCAAGCACTTTTGATTTGCGACACTAGCGACGTAACCCTCATTATGAAAGACAGGAACCGCTGACTGATGTTAGACTCCTCGCACGCGACATCCCCACACAATGATGGCCTTTGGCGGAAAACCGACCCCTCTCTGCGCTTTCACCAGGACAGCTCCGAGGTAAGCTGAGTGCTCTGCTCGCATTCATCGTCGATGCTCCAGATCTCTGCTTCGCCCGATCCTCCTCCATCATTATATGTGCTTTCGAAGTCTACCGATGACGGCCTGCTCTCCCGTTTCGTGCCCAAGCGCCAGACATCGTCTTGGGGTCTGATGTCTATGAATTGGAATGGGTCTAGCCTCGTCGAGCTGGCCAACCAATGTGCAATCCGACTTTCATGCTCTGAAATCTCCCTCCACAGCGACGTCGAATGCTGTCCCGGTCGCAGAACGTCAGCCACCTCGCCCAAGAATGAGCCTGAAGAGACGAATGGCGGCGCAACACCGTCCGCACCTCGTACACTCGACAGGTTGGAGCTTTGGACAATGTTGTACAGCTCTAGGCAGGTTGCCCCATCTAGCTTCACGTGCTGCAAGGCGTCATCAAGGTCGATATCTCCCTCATCAGGAGGTGCCTGGATATCGAGTTGTCGGATGTATGAGTCGAATGGCTTTTCCAGCGGGATCAAGTCAAGATCATTGTTTCGCCCTTGCCATTCAGGGATGTGTGCTCCTTCATCTTGGATCTGGCTGCGGCTTTGGACAAGATCATAACGATCGCTATGGTGAACAACCGAAGCGGGGATATGGTTTCTATTGTCGAGAAGAAGGAGCAGAAGAGAAAGAGATGGTTCTGATGAGAACATCATCGATGATTTATGATTGGGCAACATCGATGGCCAATCGCTGGAGCTGATATAACGTTCAAGAAAACAGCGGAACCCTGGAACAGACAATGGGCGATTGAGTGGGGTAGAGAGAGGACGGTGGGTGTGTGTCAGTCTCTCCGCCCGAATACTAACAGGCTTTGCCTTTGCTTTGCTCCGGGCTCTGGGAGAAAGGAGAACGGCCATATTTATATGTGACCAGACACGCACAGACAGATGGACAGAGCTGACAGACTGTTGAGAGTCTTCCAAGTACAGGGTCAATCAGTGGACTGATGCTACCGTACTGGACTCTCTCTACTGACACCTGGTGGCCAAGGTCAACCGATCACTAGGTCAAATAGCAAACCCCGGGCGACTTCCATTTGACTTCCATGTCGAATAAAGGCCCTCCGAGCCGCTTCCGAACTGTCCGTGTTACCCTGGGGTTATGGGAAGCAATCCTGCGCTCACCTAGCCTACCCCAACCAACCAGCCTGTAAAAAAAAGGCTATGGTCAGAAATGACCAGCTGGCGGGTGTGCATCATATCTGTCAGTCCACTTGGTGCCATCATGGATCTCCAGCATCTGGTTGCCGAGAGCACACACGAGTCCCTGTCAACTAGCAGCCCTCCCTCCCCGTCCAAACCCTGTCCAGAAAAGGAGCCTCTTTAGGTCCCGGTGTCATATAGAAGCTGGACGCAATATCACCAAGACTAAGATCCAACGAGGTGCGTCCCAGTAATGAGATGTGTTCAAGGGCTTGCATGGGACTATTTTACCTTCAATGTTTCACCGTCCCGTTTGCGACCCTGTGTGGCCTCTGAATGGGCTGCCACGCAGGCGATGGGAACGGGTAGCAGTAGCTCGCAGCAGCCCTCTGGCTCCGAGGCCTCGCTTCAACAACTGACAGGCGAGCGACAGGGGATGGAGATCATCCCCAACCAAAGAGACGTGGCATTCTGGGTCCCAGCAGAAGCAAATCCAGCGCTAGTCAAGCCCCAGGGCGTCAGGACGACTGACTACTCGGTGCAGGTGTGTCTGCCATCCGGCAGCTCCACACCGACTGGAGAAGCCCTCCAGGCCAGACGAGGCCCTCGTGTACGCGCCAACCAGCCTTATCCCAAAATTAAAGAAGAACAAGAGAGACAATGCGCAGTAGCTGAAAGATCCTCACTGCACGGAGAACTATACTACGTGAGCCAAGGGTCCATTCCCCCCTCCCCCATGTCGGAAGTCTCCCGCAATCGAGTGTCGCTCGCTGATCAGTATGACGTGGCATTTGTCGCTCTTTCAACTTGCTCGAGCGGACGAAGAAAACAGTCTAGAACCGCAACAATCAGTAGAGACAGATCCGTCGCACCCGGGCTAGTTTTCCCCTAGGAGGCTGACTTGTTAGATCAAACAGTGCCCCTTATCCTCCTGGCGAGCCCAACAAGCATCCGTTTGTGATCGTGATGACACTTAACTCTGACAACACTGAACAGGGATACCCATTTCCGATACATGACAGCTTAATACTTGACAACAACCGTCGAGATGATTTTGACCCTTCAGCGTTGTCATTACTTTCCTTTGCCCAGGTTCGTACGGTTCGTACGTTACCTGCTAGGATACGTTACCACCGCTCGACATTCCAGCCTGGGCGGCAACCGATAGAAACGGCATGGCCTGATGCGGGCAAGTTTCAGCCTCGGGCCATCCATGTTGCTTCCGTGCCTAGTCTGGACCTGCAAAGGAACCAGGGCCATCCCCACCTCGACCCATGGGGCCCATATGGCACGAGTCAGAACCGGCCGACCACGAGCTCTGGGCGACTTCGTGGCAAACATCCCACTAGTAACTTCCGAGCGTTCCTTTTCCAACGGAAACGGAGAAAGGTCGTGAATGCGTAGGGGGGCTAGATCAACTCGCCTGATGGATGTTGCCCGACCCACAATGATTTTGTAACGAAACCGGAGACCAAAGGTCCTTGCATTGGCCGTTGCCTTGCGCACCAGCTCGTATTGCCTAGCGAGGATGGTCTCCACCGAAGTCCGTCTTTTCCTCCAATCAGGCTGAGCGATATGCTAGAGCCGCATGAGTTTTCCCAGGAAAAAAGCCGAGATAGGTTTGGAACAACGGCGTTCGGTTGCCTGATGGCTGAAGGGGGAGGGGTTGGTTCGCATGGTTCGCGCAAGGGTATGCGACAATGCCCGTCACCGCCAGTTTGAAGGGAAGGGATTGGGATGAATCCACAGAACACCCCTGCAAAAGACTTGGATCCTGTTTTCACAAGGTTGACCGTGATGTGGAAAAATGTTGGTCAACGAAGCCGGCTTCTTTCATTGCCCATCTTTTCGAGATTCTCGTCGTATTGTGCTTTATTTGCGCATGTGAACCGCTTTCACAGTCGTCATTGGCAACTTACTATGTCCCAGTGCGCGGCCGAAATCCACCAAACGTAAAATCACGTAGGTGAACACTTCCCGTATCGTGCTTCGTTGTCAAGCGTGATAGACTCTTAAGGTCCTGACCCTTACATATTGCAGGAACTCAAAGGCAGTGGCGCCCGCCGTTCGAGAAGCAACGGCCCGAGGCTGGGGGCATGGGGGGCATGGAAATATGATCCTCCAATAGATCAAAGCAGTGGCTCTTTACAGCTCGTGTAGAAATGCACTTTGTGCTCCGTATCTCGTGTCATTGATGATATTTGAGTTCTGTGGGCCAAGACCCCGTTTCGGGTTGGCGTTCTTGGCATGGGTTCGGGGAAATGCTTTTCCGGATACCGAACTTCACACTGGCCAGTGCTGGCGTTGTTGAACTGGCTTCGTGTTCGCCCTTCAATTGTCACTTTCTATCACACACTGATGCTACTCGCTACCTACAAAAACTCCGGAACGTGCCATCGGCTCTGACTCAAGATATCACAATATTCGCTTGCCTCCCCGCCACCCAAAGGGCGCAGCAAAAATGTGAGACATGCGATGTTGTCAAATAGATAGTAAGAAATATTCCCTCCAATGTGAATCCAATCAACCATGATTCACATCATGCTGCCTCTCCAATATCAACTCATATCGCCCTCCCAATAGTCCCTCGGCGATCTATACTCACACTGATGGCACAGAAGTAATGCTGGTCTGCTGCGACTTATTGTCATCGCTCCAAAGCCCCTCCCTGACGCCCGACAGACCCGATGAGCATGTGCCGTCCATGCCGTTTATTGTCAGCTCGGCCTGTGACTTCTCTTTCCATCTCCACAAGGTGCTATCATCGTCGAGGGTGAAGAGATATGACGAAGGAGATTGGCCCAGCCAGCTCTGCAAATGGTTCCCATCTTGGTCCGACAGAAGCCCGGAAAGGAGGAACGATGCCAATGGACTCTGATCACGCCATGGTGGTCGATCAAGTGTCTGTTCATGTGAGCCGTCCTCGGGGCTATCGGCAAGCCGTTGTGAAGATGACCCAGAGCCCATGATGCTTCGAAGGATGCCTGCGACGTCCTGGACGAGGGGTTCCTTTGCTTGGAGGTGCGTCCACTGTCCAAGAAGATCATCTGAATGTAAGTCTTCATGGTCATTTCTACGCTCCTCCAGGCACAAGCACGGGTATCCTGGAGACATCAGAGGCGCCCGGTCAGAATCATCTGGCCAAATTCTCCCCAAAGAGTTTGTGTCTCTTCCATCACTTTCGTGGTAGGTTTTTCCAAGGTTTCGGGCCACAGCTGTATCGTGATGGAGTGGGCAGATATCAGGGTACACACACTGGGCGTTGAATTGTGCCCCAGATTGCGCCAGCAAAGTTGCACAAAGTCGCTGCCCAGGAAGAGAAGGTTCTTTGGGCGGAGAAGGCGTCCAATCAAAACTTCGATCCATCAACGAATGGTTAGGAAGGCACAGAAGATAACCGGCGAGGTGTCAACTAGAGACTAGAAGCACGATTCTCTCTTCCCTTGCGTCTCAGTAGCATGCCAGCTGGCATGTTTCCTCGACCGACACAACCTGGACTGCGGGCCTTTTAAGTACCCATCGAGGCCATCACCCAGGATGATCACAGTGTCGGACACTACGCTCTGAGGCGCTCTCGGCCACGGTGCAGCGACTTGTGTGACTTGGATGACCCGTCATGGGAAGAGCTCCCCGGCGCCAGTGATGACGCTTTTGGACACCCTTCTGGATGTGACGAATCCGATAGGCGATGTCGATTAGGTCGTGGGGGTGGGCTCGCCGGAACATTCACTGTGCATCCGCGGCAGCCACTGCAGCCAAATTTACCTAACAACTACTCCCCGGAACCTTGCCCGATAGAGGCCGCGCCGTTTCCCCAGGCTTCTAGGTATCATTCGCATCGAGAGCCTCCCACGTCGTGCCGTGCCTAGACTTGAAGAGGCGTACCAGCACAATCGTCACAGAGAGTGTCCGGGATTCGGCAGTCCAGACGGCAGCGCGCCCTCCTCCCCACGCTTACCATCACCACCAGCGTAACCTCGAGTCTACGGCTGCTGAACAACATCCGCCACGTCTTTTAGTGGAATCCATGCACGGCATTTCAGCCTGGTCATGAGCGATGCCACATTGATCATAGGGCAACGTGAGATGTCATTTCCCCGTTGAGGTCCGGCTGCTAGAATGCGGTGCCTCGAGCCTTCTGGTCCATAAGATCTCTCGTGACTTCCGGGCCGTTTACCGCGGATGGCCGCTATTCTCCTCGCTCTGCGCGATTTGCCTGATCTCAATCACCACGGGAACGTCAGGTCTTTCTTGTACCTTCTCCTATTCCTTCGGCAAAGAATTAGTTGCCCGACCAGCATCGGGAGCGCAGTATGCCCCGGCAGAAGGGCACTCTCTGTCCTCGTTTCAACATCCCACAGCAAGCCCCGGCTGGTCTGAGTGATCAGACCTGTACTGCTGAAGGACACCTCCGCCCTCAGCTCCAGCTCCATTAATACCAGGGAACGCACCATTCGGAGATATCATCAAAAATCAGACGCCGGCATAACTGAACTCGAACTCATTAAGCTTGACCTTACCCGAATAAGGGTTGCCATCGATGAAGTCAAGAAGCAAGTTCCTCAAACTCAGCTGCCGACTCTGAGGAAGATACTTGACCACATTGGCAATCCCGCTGGCACGCCAGTGACAATCCCGCAGGTCCACCTTTTGCATCGCGTCTCGCACCATCACCGTCCCGGCATTCACCAGACGCGGCTTTGCGTCGCGATAGTTCTGGCACATCATCCAAAGCAAGTCGGCCACGGCTTGTTCTTCGGCCAGATCATGCTCAACCAACAAATCTTCGATATAACCGATATATGCTTGGATTGCAGCTTTCAGAGCCATCGTCTTGGACGCCATTTTTAAATGTCCTTGCGCTTCCAACACTCCACGCACCCCACACATGACCGACACGAGAATCAAAACGCAACGCTGCTGCGCGATAAACTCATCGATGTCGCCGTACACGCTCACGCTCTTTCCTGTTGTCTCCCGGAAGAGGAACTCGTGCAGCCTCATGTCCTCGACGACATAGGGGCCTTTGTCCTTCAAGGGCAACAACTGCCTATCTCTCCACATCCGATCGACATCTTTCAGGAGAGATTTTAGCCACCCAAGTCGCATGTTCGAGTCCTCCTGCCCCCACATCCAACTCGCCTCGGGATCTCGATAGATTCCCTCGAACCAAAGCGCTTGTTCCTCTCTCAGCCGATCATGAAGGCCGTCCTGCAAGCCAATCTGGCGGATGATATCTCGACCGGTTCTAAAATGGATTACCGCTCTCTCGCGCTCTCCGTATCGCTGTTCAAAAGACGCAAGGCTGATGATCGAAGTCAAAATCAGTTTGAGATCGGCGTTGGAGCCAAGTTCCACATTCTCCCGTAGAATAGTGATCGCTTTGGTCTGATGCTTTAATGCCGCATATTCCAACGCCTTTTTTGTGGCCGGCGTGGTGTATTTTGCATTCATGCGCAGCTGATGCAATGCTGAACGAGCCATCAATGTGTGGAAGTGAGTCAGGCATGCACCTGCTTGATACTCCCATGAACCTTTGATGGAGGGTTTTATCTTAGGAGACAAGGCATATGCGGTTTGCCAGTAGCTGTTCTGGCCGTAGAAGTGAAGAAGCTGGTTTGTGACCCCATCGACCTCAATGGGCAGCGTTTCAAAAGGGTCAACGAGGCATGCTGATATAGCTTTAGGCAAGGGCGGTTTCGGGCTGTTGATGAGCTGTCGAGATCGGGTACTATTGGTACTGTACGAGGTGGTGCTTCGAGCCTTTTGCGCTTTGGCATTTACGGCAGCATAGGCCACCTCATCTTCGGAGGTATCGAAATCATCTGTTTCCGAATCCGTGCGCGGGGTGTCCGTACCATACAAACTCGACTCAGACATAGCCGCAAGTCAACCCGACTCCATGCAGCGCTCTTACATTGCCCTTTCGGGGGTTGGTACAGGTCCCCGTGGGATTGGCAACGCCAGCGACCATGAAGAGGGCAGGAGTCGAAGAATGTTTCAGGAGCTGGACGGGGCAGACGGTGTGCGCGCGTCTTCATATGAACTCGATCAATAGGGTGGGCGCTCGCTTGCCGGCCGAAACGCCCAACGAAACGGTTCACCCGGTCAGGCCACAACGAGGATGCCCCGCCCAAATTTGTTGTCGCTTTGAGACGGTTCGACGTTGACGAGCGATGCCAGCCACTCATTTGGCTTTCCACACGTTCCGTGTCTTGGACTTTGCCAAATGCGAACACGTTGCTAAGCCGGACTGAGAGCGATCCCGAGTTTTGTGAATCCCGAAGTGACCCCAATCTGGAGATTGAGGCATGACGATCGCTAACTAGGACTCTAGGCCTCGCTTGGAGAAACGGCACCTCCTGATTCGCAACTTTTGCCTTTTGTGCTTACTTGACTCCTCCAGCCGCCCTCTTACCGCCTTTCCGGCCTCACCAAAGCGTTTACTGTGTCTAACGGCGAAAATTCTGGAGGACAAGCGTACTTTTGATCAAGAGAAGTCGGATCCTGGCCGCAGGCAATTGTGCGGCACTCTTGACTTGACACCCAAGCCACTTACGCCTACGCGCGCGCGCGCTTGAAGGGCGGTTGGCCGTCCTTCTGAAGCAGACGCCAGAGTTGCTGCAACCCCGCTCTACCAGCTACTGAAACGGCATAGCGAAGTACGCACGGACACAGCTTCCCCGCTGCAGTTCACAGCCCGACTCCCTCGACGAACATACTTTCAGATATACAATAAGGCGTTCTTTGTGTGTTCTTTGTGTGTTCTTTGTGTGTTCTTTGTGTGTTCTTTGTGTGTTCTTTGTGTGTTCTTTGTGTGTTCTTTGTGTGTTCTTT